AAAAGGAAGCATGAAACACACATGTATAATAAAATATTTTATGGCAAGTAATTACAGTGGAATAATAAAATCAACTCTCACCGACACCTGATTTAGCCCAAACAGTGAGTGCTGAGAGCTACATCGTACTGGGGGGGTTGAGTTGACCTTTCTAAATACTGTCATCTCTACACCAACATGACTGTCTCTGTCAAAAACAAATGGAAATGCATGCCTCAGAACAGCCTTACACATTCTTAGTTTGTTTGCGATTTTCTCAAAAGGCTATGAATTACCTGCGTGGATTTCCACTGTTTCCCCCTGAACCTTCTTCTTCTTCTTTTGGCGCTTCCGCTGTAAGTGAAGCTTGCTTCTTCTCTACAATCTCCCCAAGATCAAACATGGCATGGAGTCGGTAGTTCACCACCTTGATGGCTGTGAAAAAGACTGCTACCACAGCTGAGTAGATACCTGCTATCAACAAGCTGGGTGGCAGAGCCTGTATGGGAGACACATCAACTTTGAAAGTAAGAAGATTCACCACATTATCCATAGATGAAAACATTTGTAGAAACAACATTTTTAGATATTTCTTTGAGATACTGATATTTTCTTTATGATCTACTGTACTCACCATGTACAACAAAAATGGGAAGGCCAGAAGAAATATCCAAAGATATAGGTGGAAGCAATTGGAGAAGGTGCTTTGGTGGGGGTCCACATACCAGCCTCCAGTGAGTGAAGCCCACACACCCTGCCGCAATATCTGAAGAGCTTGGGAACCCATCCTCTCTTCCTGGTTTAGAAAACCCACGCTGTAGCTCAAAAACTGTGGAGCAGTTTGAGCCACAGTATCAAATTTCTACAATGGCACTTCCATTTGGTAAAGCAGAGTGGTCAACACCATCTCATCAAGAGCAGTAGCCAGGCGTGTTGGATATGTTTGCTTTAGTTGCAAAGAGTCCTTGCATATTTTTGTGCCATCATGTACTCCAGTTCTGCCTTAACATAGCCACACTTTTGCCTAATGCTTTGTGAGTACTGAAGAGAGTGGCTTTTTGGCACATTTGCACCCCGCCAAATGCAAGTCATCTGTAAATAGAATAGGTTGTTAGAATGTTGTTGAAAAATATTTTGACATTTAGAACATCAAAACACCAAAGCAAAAACACAATCAGAAACACACAAGTGAATACAGTCTCAAGTCCAAGTTCATAAACATTTGTCTGTTGTATAGAAACCACTATTATACATTTAAATTACTTACAAAGAACCGCACGCACAAACTAAATGTCTGTCTTAACGTATAGGCCACTACAGTGCTAAATTAAGTTTGCTGGCAGACATTAGCAAAAGATGATTTAGCTTAGCTGAAAAAGAACATTATATATTGAGCTGCCCATATGAATGGTTAAGAATTAAAATCGTATTGAGGATTGGGGCATATATAATTTCATCCAATGAGTTTTCCACCAAAACAAAGCCAAATCAAGACCAAATTTTGAACTGTCAGTCAAACACATCCCTAGCTAAACATCTCTGTAATGCTAAAGGCTAGTCACCGGGCAATGCTAGGCCCCACATATCAACATTTAGCTAAACTATATAATTATCTCTACAGCTCCGTACTTAGCGACAGCACACGGCACTACGATACCATTCATCCGAGCTGTTAATGTTATCTGATCGGCCACCAGTGCTCGCCTCCATTAGTGTCGCTGTCCAAAGTAAAACGTTTCCATATTTGGAGCCTAATGAAGTTAGCTCACAGTTAGCATTAGCTAGCTCCCAGCCTCAGATCCGTCTTCCTTCCGCATCCAGGACTGGTCAAATCTCAGCGCTGTGCTGCGGGATGCTGAGAAGTCAGTCTAAAAACTACACCTTCACTTTCCTTCTAACGATAGGCGTCTATCCAAAACGTTATTTAAGTAAAGCCCCTCACCTCTTTGGCATGAAAGCTTGATAGACACAGATCGACAACACAGGAGCTTCTTGCCCATCACGAAAGACAGCTGTTTCTTGGCATAGATAGAGGCTTGGGTGAAGGTTTCAACAGGCTAGCTCAGCTAGCGTTGGCTAACGCTAACAACCAGTTGACAAACCAGGAAGAGCGAGAGATTCCCAGAGCGCTCATTGGACAATCACAATAACGTCACAGAATGACTGGCTATGAGCGCTGCAGATATATAATAATAATAATAATAATGGACTAAATATTCTAATAAATATTATGAATAATTTTATTTCCATAACAACCTCTCGATAATAATTAGTTATTATGCCCTCTCAATTAAAAGAGGCTACCTTGATTGTTAATAAGTACAGACAAGAATCCTGTCCTTCCGTGTGTCCTTCTATCTCTTGGTTAAAACCGTAGACTGTTCAAAGAAGATTATATATACAGTGTATGGTTAAAACTCGGCATAGGACTGGGGATATGCAAAAAAATTAATATCACAATTTTCTTGGGCATAATCTCACTATTTACTGATTTATCAAGATAGATAACACCATATTGCCTTCAATGGGTAAATAAAGTTATCTAATTCTTCTGAATGTTCTCGCTTTTCTGAGGCTGGTTAAAAACACTGAGCCACTCACTCAGGAGCAGGACAAAGGCAGCAGAAGATAAGACACAGAGCATAGAGCTGCCTAAAATGAAATGAAGATATCTGGTCAGATCACATTTTTATAATCATATTGCCTTGTCCTATGATACTTCGGCATTCCGGTAGCAAGCTGCATGATAAACTTTTGCATGTGTATGTGCCTGTGATCCAGATTGGTTCTCTCTTTGTGTAGTCTAAGATTAAGTGCTTGTATCCTGTGTCAAAATAGCCTACACTGTAATTACTATTTTCAAATCCCAATGCTTGAACTGATGATGGAGTCGAACAAAGACGGCTCCAAGAGAACCTTATAAACCAGTTTGGACACTTGGGTACGAACTATTGAGGAAAGAATCACTACCGTTTAATTTCACCAGGGGGTAGTCAAACTGCATAATGTTTACCACACATGCAAGATACACTTATGACATTATGCGATTAAAGGCTAAACCATATAATTATGCTGATGCTTAATATGTTGCTGAAAAGACTTTTGTTTCATTAAGGGGTTGTCTTTCTACTTGATGAATGCATCGCTTACACCTCGACATGAGCTCAGTGGGAGTTGGACTAGTTTAATAAGCTTATTTGGTCTAAGGTTGTCAGTCTTTTTCTGTTCAAAGTGTTATTTAATGATAACCTGACAGCAGTTATAAAAGATGCAGAAATAATTTCATTTCATAATAAATAATGGACATACAGGCATTACTAATACTCTAGACTGACTGAGAGAGAGAGACAGGAAGCAGAGGATGACAAGCTGATGAAACTTAAGTGAAAGAAGCATAAGACATTGTGGCTTTCCATTTGTTTAATGTTCCTATATTACACAAAATGGATTCTTGTGAGTTTCAAGCCATGTTATAATATTGCTACCTCACCAAAAACATACCTGGAGTTGTTTTGTTTCATTCACACACATTTGAGTAGCCCTTTTTTATTAGTCTGTCTACATATCCAAAGTTGAAAATGCTCTGTTTCACGTTGTGTTGTTATGAAGTGGTCCAGCTCTGAAATCACCCTAATGAATAATGAAGTATGGAGTTTAAAAACACAGTGGAGCATTTCCTTCCTGTAATACCACATGACAACACAAGGTGGAAGAAGATTATTTTGTGTCTGATAGAAGAACTCAGTCTAAATATACAGAGTCTGTGTGCTAAATATGTGTGAATAAAACAAAACACCACTTCTGGTATGTTTTTGATGAGGAAACAACATCATAACCTAGATCTGAAAATAGCATAATATACTTACTGTATACTACTTATCAGTTATGATGACTTATGTTATAATGTTGCTAGGCAATACTATGTTTTGTTAAAAGGAGATAACCTGTATGCAGTTGGCATACTTGGAGACCAGTTTAGTAAATTATCTAATTTGCATGATTTTGTATTTGGGAATACACCATAGTATACCACTTCTTTTTAAAGCAGTGGTACACCATAGTATACCACTGTTTTTATATAGAAAACAATCTCTTACTGAACAGTGTTCATCTAGGGCTGCAGTAATCAGTCCTTGTATGTATAGTCAGTGGTTGCAGGCTATGGAAGAAAATCATTTTTGTTCCTTTAATAGGCCTATATTTTTCTTGGATTTAATTTACATTACAAATGTTCTTATGCTTCCATTTTTCCCAAAAAATGTCTCTGGATTGTCTCTTAGTTAAGCAACTATGCTTAGTAATTAGACATTGTTCATCCTGATAGCATATATCTGACACAAATACCTCTCATATATATTCCTTAATGAACAATGTACGTCAGTGCATCAACGCATGTAAAGACAAGACTATGAAAAATAGTAAGCAATCCTGCCACTCAGACCCAGATTCTCTTGGTGTTATGAAGAACTACTTCTGATGTGCATCTAGTTCATTTCCAATATTCTCATGATAAATGTTATCTGGCCTACCCCAGCTTTAGTAAATCTGTGCAAATTTAAACAACACAGCCAATTAAAGTTGCCACAATCTCACATTCACATAGAGCAGCTGATTAAGGAGGAAGTAGGATTCAAAAAGACATCTCACTTCCCCTATGCATTGTATTTTCCCCTATGCATTGCATTTTGAAGTTAAAACATAATAATAATAATAATAATAATAATAATAATAATAATAATAATAAATTAAGAAGGTGATGACTGATTATGTCATGAATGGTTATGTCATATATTCCCCAAACTGCAAAAACGGTCCAAGGAAGGAAGAGGCATCATGTGGGTTACTGGGGGTCTGCCAAGGAAGTTACTGACAGATTACAATTTGTTGTGTATTATTATGAAAATAGGCTAGTCATGGTCAAAATACATTGTACCTTAAGAAGACGAGATTCTTAAAGAAGCAAGCCACAACGCATGGTTTTACAAAGTATATAATCAAGTGTATTTTCATCTTTATCCACGTTCTGTACACATATCCATTTCACATGAACACTATACAATAGCAATGAGTGAGGAATGAAATTTTTCTGAGCACAGAGCCCCTTATTTCGAATGGCACTTTCATAAAAATAAGAGGAAATCACTGAGCATGAATAAGTAAAATGTCGACCAAAACCAAACAGAGAGATGGCTTTAGATTATCCGATCCGATGGTTAACAAATTCAACACATATAAAATGCAACAACACAAACATTGTTGTTTGCCACCCTTGTGTTTTCTTTTGTAATCGGATCCTTAAATAATGTAAAAGATGTCTGCAGCTGTCGGAGGGAAGTGTGCTTATTGTCTGGACTTAAGAAAAAAGGCAATTTTAAAATGTAACATGTTTTTAAGGAGTGATAATAAGATACATTGAAATATCAGAGAAATATCAATACAATTCACAAACTTTTCAATTATTCATCTCATAGAATAGTCTTTATAGTAACTGATAGGAAAAAAATCATTACGTCTGGCTCCTTTACATGAAATATCTACTGTATGTCTTCCACATTGGTTTACATTATCAGTGTGCTTTTGCATTTATCCCATGACAGACAAAGGAAAACAGTACAGTGACCCCGCCTCGCAATGTCCGAGGCAGTCCTTTTTGCACCAGAAAGGAAACTCCCTTCGAAAATGATTCTGTGTTCACAAAAACTCCTGAAGTAAAAGTTCGGGCTGCGGCGGTTTGGTATTGTAAAGATGTGGGGAGGGTCTTGGATAATATCTCCTCTTCATAGCTCTTCTCCCTTGCATTCATTTTGCCTTCTGCTATACTCTATATGTACATACAAGCAATGTTTACAGACAAATTCTTTTCAGTGGAGTTGGACTGATTTGTGAATTCCTACTCAAAATGGCACACTTATGACACCTGTAGTAACCCATCTGTGAATAGTTACTGGCTCAGGTAGATATATTTTTTAATTTTCATTTAATTCTCCATTTCATCATTGAGCTTAAAGTCATGCTTTGTTAGTACCAGCAATATTACACCATTTTGAGTAGTTAAAGTGATTGGAGAGTTATAGGCAGCAAATACCTTTTAAAATCTTACTTTTGCAGAAATACCCTTAGCTCATAATAAAATCCAATATTCCTATTCTGTTCTGCCTCATATATCGTAATGGAGGACGCTGGAATTCGAACATTACAAAGAAGTACAAAGAAAACATTTAGGCAGATTTATCCGGAAGTCCTCAGCACCTTGTTTACCGAGACGTATCCATGCTATATACAAAGCCAAGAGTGGTTATGCCTCCTCTTCGGACCTCATTAAAAACATAAAAAATGACACACATACAAAGAGGTGGTGAATGCTGTCCTGTTGTGACACGAAGGATGAGTCAGATCTTTTTGAACACGAACAGGAAACCGCGCAACCTTGACTTTTTAAGGAATAATACCACAGTTCAAACATTTGCTTCGATCAGCTGTTGTGAGACTTCTCTGATGGCCACAGAAACGGAAAAAGCTTCTTGTCCACACATAACACTTTTTAGACGTAATACTCTTTGTCCTTGTTCTTTTTGCCCTTCGTGATTGCCTTTGCCACTGAGCCCGTCGGCGTGGTTTTGTCCTTTATCACTGCTCCGTTCCCCTCTACGGACGAGTTATTGGCAAAACCGTGGCTGTTGTCTGCCGGGTAAGAGCCCTCATCTCGGTTGCGATACTTGTACATGGCATAGAGCAGTATAAGGATGCAGAGGGCAGCAGCAGCCACGATGCCCACTACCATGCCGGTTGTGCTACTCGACTCCCTTATGACCTCCACGGCACCTGGCAGGTTCTTTTCGTCCAAAGCGGTGGGGTTGGCTGTGGGCACATGGGGAAAATTGGGTGGGTAGGTTAGTCCTGGTGTGTTGCGGGAGGAGGGAGGAGCAGCGGGGGGCAGAAGCACCTGGTCGCGGGTGTTCATTTTGCCTGCGGGGATGTGGAGCTGGTCAGGGTTGGTGGTTGGAACATAAGGAGGTATAGGACGGGGTGGTTTTTGTTTGTGGACCCCGCCCTCACCAGCAGGGGGCGGCGGAGGTAGGACTGTCCTGTCAGTGACCATGGGGGAATTCTTACGGTAAAAGTCCTCATCGTCCGATTCGGTCATCTCCCCGGAGCCGAAGGCGGACACTTCCACAGGGTCACCGCAGTCCTCCTGGTCTGGGGGGCAGGACGAGGGGTGGGGGGGGTAGGATGAGGGACTCTTTGGTGGTCTCGAGCGGGGACAAGAGGGTGGGGGGAGGCGGGATCACGGGAAAACGGGTAGCGATGGAGGGGGGCTCAAGGGAATCCACTGTTATAATAGGCAACACTAATTCACCTCCTAGAAGAGAAACAGAAAAGGGGGGATCAGCTAATAATATATTGACTATGATCTGCAAAACAATTGCGTTTGCACTGTGTACTGTACCTATATGTAGTATATATGGTATATATTTACACTAATCTGGTGACTATGCTGCATTATATTCGAAAGTGAAAAGTAATATTGCTATCATATCATCCTTATTGGTGAGTGGGTGTATAAAGAAAATGTAAATTGGCTTAATCAATACCAACAATATCAGATAAACAAGAGCATAATGAGACAGAAAAATTATATGACCTGAAGTTAAGTGCTGAATGACAGAGAAAATGCATTATGAAATACAGTCAAAGAGAAGAGAGACATAAACATACAGAATGGCCCGTGTAAAGCGTCAGCTAAATGAGAAGCAAATAATAAACAGCAAAATGAATCAACTTTGTTAAAGTGTAATAAGCTATTAAAAATGAGCTATTATTCAATGAAATACGATCTCACAAATTATTTCTGTCATTAAGTGAACATTTGGTCTCAAAGCTGATGAGTTAGAGTCTGGAAAATGGTTTAATATGTGTATAAGTGTGACTGCAGTGGTGGCTAGACTACTGGCTCAGAGCATCTCCCAAACTGCAAAATGCCTGTGCTCCTGGCCCTTAGAAAATTGCTCAAGGAAAAAAAAAACATTATCTTTTGTGTATTTAATTAGATTTTGTGTACTTAATATTATATTAAAATAATATTACGTAATATAATCACAGTGGTAGAGATGAACATCAAGTCTCCTACAGTGATGATATACCTTTACTTCCTAGCCTTATTTTAGTCCACAGACTTTTCATTAGTATTGAAGTCACAGTATGCTGGGCCAGTCAACAACAAACAGCCCTGATAAGGTCATATAAATAATTGAGGCGCTCATAATAAGGGCGCACTCTTCTTACGAGCCCCGACTTGTTCTGCCACCAGCCTGATCCACTGTCGTCCAGCCCTAATGACTGCACTCCTCTCCACACTTTCACATTAATGAGTTTCAGATATGACTTAAAAGCCAGCCACGTATTGTAAATGGTTGTGTGTATACCAGCTTTTCCAAATGAGAACAGATGTTTAGAAGAGCCAATTAAATCCTCCTAAAGTATATGCAGCAAGTACAAAGGGAAGTGGCAGATAAAATGCTGTTTATAATGTTTAAACCATAGCTAATGTTACATGCTAAAAAAAAAATAATAATAATAAATAAATAAATGCACTATGTAACTATCTTGTGCTGAGTCCACTGTCAGCTAGTCTCCATGGATAAAGTTCAGAATGTTGATGTTTAACTGTGAAGGGAAAGCAATAAACTCCATGGAGACGAGCAGGTAGTGGACCCCCCAACCAGAAAAGTTACACAGTGCACCTTTAAGTAGTCAAAATGCATGATTGATAAAATAAATATTTCATAATACCACAAATAATAATAATAAATAATACCATAAATAATTCATATATTTATATAGGAAGAGGTTAGTAGCGCTAAAGTGCATAGATATTAAAATGAAATAAATAAATGAATAAATAAAACCCCAGTTGACCCACCTGTTCCTGGTTCACACTCCTCCAAGTCTTCATCGTCACTGGGACACTCAGCTGATGCCACTAAAATATCATCAGAGTTTTGTGGCTATAATGACAAAAACAAAGGAAATATTGTTAGTTTTATAGTAAAAGACAACATTTATACCACTTGGTGTTTCTTTTTTATGCAGCTGTCTCTAGTGAGAAGCTGTATTCTGCTTTCAGCAACACGAGCAGCGATGCACATCAGACAAGGACCAAGACGCTGCTGCCTGTACCCCAGAGGCTGACTACATTTTCAAACAAAACACTTTTTCAGATGACTGGGTTAGATGCTCTGCCAAATTCACATAAGATTTGAATGGTTAAATGAATGTTGTATATTTTATTATTAGCATTACAGACAAGATAAAACATATTTGAGGTAGCTGGAGGTGCATTTGAGAGCATTTATAATACAGCAAACTGGCGGTCACCAGGTGCAAATGAAAAAATCCATTCGGCATGACAAGTTACATGATGTTGATTTAAATTGCAGGGTTGGAAACAGTTGAAACTGTCCATCAGGGCACAAAGTGGGGTGTACTGAAAAATCTGTCAGATAAAATTATTCACTATGCTCCTGTGCAGATATAAAGGTACAGTCACACATCTCACAGACAGAATAACAAACAGCTAAGCAGTGGACATGATCTAATATAGAAAAAATAAAAATGTATTTCTTTGTGCAACTGACAATTCATATAAAGTAATATAATTTGAGCGCGATTGTTTCATATTGGTTTGTGATGGCTGAAGCAAAACAATAAAGTATTTCTCACTTTATTCCTATTGAAACTTCAGGTCAACCGTAGTTTCTAATAAAATGCCTACATTAACATTTTAAACATTTTGTATTTGTATTTTAGAGAGTAATAGAATGACGTATGATATATTTTAGAACTGGTCCAATAATTTTGCCTATTTGTATATATTTCTATAGCCATAATAATGAGCAGAACCTTCCTTTATGTTGATGAATAAGAAGTGGCTTTGTTAAATCTGCATTATTTCCACTTGTTATAGCTGTGAGCAAAAGCTACGTTCTTTTCACAAATGAAAATCAATACTGGCTTATCTTCTTCCATACATCTGTACCTTGGAGATGCTCTCTCTCAGACTTGGCGAGCGCTGCCTCCTTGTGGTCGTGGTAGCCATTGTGGTGGTCGTTTCCATGATGGTGGTTGACATGTCGGACACGGCTAACGGAGTTGCTGAGGTCGTATCCGTGGTAACCGCCGTGAGCGAGTCTCCCACTAGACGCAGGTTACCCTCCACTTCAACACTTGGGTCATTCTCTGCAGCGAGTTTTAACACCTGTAAACCATTGTAGTACAGGCCCGAGATCTGCCCCTGGAACGGACGACCCTTGTCACTGCCGCCGATTTTGATGGCAGCTTGGCTATTGAAGATGGTCAATTGCCTCCCTGAGAAAAGAGAAGAAGAAAAACAGGAAGTGAGGGGGAAAAGTCAAGATTTGATGTTAAGTGCAAAGATGTGCACAATATAACATGATGAATCATTTATGTTTATATGCATTATTTATTGTGTTTAATAGGGAAAGGTTTGGCCTGAGGTTGGAGCATGCAGGTTTCAAGACAAGTTAAGACATTATTTAGACGCCTATTTAATTGCTTTTTGTTGGTCAAGTCTAATAATTGTCGTTACGTAAGCTGTCTGCTGGGAAAGTAGGACAGATGTTTATTCTCGGGTATTTAATTATCTTATAACTCTAGGATAGACAGAGCGAGGATGCGTGTCATATGACTTTATGAAAAAAATTCCACGTCTACAGTTGTTCAAAGCTGGATGACTGATAAATTAATTAACTCTTATGTAAGGTGAGTTTCGTTCCCATCTTTAAACCCAAGTCGCCTAACCCTCACAAAGGGCTGGAGATATCAAATAGCATTGTCTGCTCTTGCTCTGATAAGCTTTGTCACTTCAAAAGGAGGAGCGCGTGGCAGTAATGGGCCCCTCTTAAGAGAATACTTATTAGCAAAGTTAATGACCGCAAACCATGATGTGCTTGAACAGTCAGACAGCGAGCTTATGTTGTAACAGGGGGCTTGGGCAAAGAGTATAAGGTGGTCGAAGCAGGTTGAGGAAATAGTACAGAGACATAGGGAGCAGAAGAAAAGGAATTATGGGTTTAGGGTTAGAGTTTAGTCAGTAATGTTAGGTTTGTTTTAGTTATTTTTTTAACAAAGTAATTACAGGCTTCATCTAATTAAAACAGCAGTTAAGGGGGATGTTAGAGAGAGTTAGACAAAGGTTATGTGTTTTTAAATTGGTTTACAGGTGCAGCCTCTACACAAGGATGACTGTAAAATAGCATTCCCATCTGTACAGAACTTTACAGTACAGAGGTGTCAAGTTAAGTAGTCTTGCCGTTCCCAAGCCTGGATAAATGGAGAAGAAAGTGGAGAATTTAAGCCAAATCACTGCATATATTATCAGATTTGAACGTCTCTGAACTTGGTTTAATGTTAATATTAGGTACAATGTTAATATTAGTGGTAATTGCATACAGTTAAAAAGGCTCATTAGAGCAGAGTATGTGTCACCCTTGTTTTCTGACACTGCACCTAACTGAGGAAAGGTTATTTAGTGTTTATTCATTTATTAATTGATTTTATTACCTTTATCGAGTAGCCACTCGTCAACTACCCGACCAAGTCTGTATGGGATTCTTTGTCTAGCAATAGCCAGTCGCTCATTATCATAGTGTCCTTCAAAACATTTAGAGAGACAGGTTAAACATCACATGGTTAGAAACAGGTTTAACAAGTTGTCATTTTTAACCCAAGGCTGAGTTAAACGAAACTTGTGCTTTAAAAACTAGTTATTATCTCTATTTAGAAAACTGTTTAGGCTAATTATATGTGCTACTCTAGTTAGTGGTGTTTAGGTCATTTTATGAAAAGCATTATATCACTATTACACACATACTGTGTAGAGAGAAAAGTTAAACATGCTTCAAAGAAAGTAAATTCATTAAACATTACAATTGGCAGTTAGAGTAAAAGTACACTGGAATCAGCCGGGCGCCCGAGTCACCCCCCACTCATGCTCTGCAGTGCACTGAGATCTGAGGACAATGCATTTTATACAGCGGCACTCATGGGACCATTATAGTTACAGCCAACAGAGGTGGGAGCTGAAGTCACAAAACAGTGGAATAAATGTGATATATTATCGAAAATGTTCAGATACAAACACAAATTAATAGGATAAATATTTGTGTCATGATTAACTGGGAGATACAAATTAAAATGGAGAATGGAAAATATTAATAACAGTTTGGTATTTGTAAAGTTTCAACTGTTTGAAACCCTAGAATGCATAAAGATTGAGTGAGATGGGACTTAAGCCCTCGACATATTTAATAAATGCAAATAAACATTACTGAAAAGATTTCGATTTGTTTTAAAGTGCTGCATGATATTTAAGTATTATAGTATTGCAAATGGTAGGATTGCAAATTTCAGTACTAATGGACATACAGGGTGAACTACTTCTAATGGAACTACTCATTTATTTCTAAACTTTTTAAATAGTTTAATGTGCAATGAATAAAGCTGGCTGTGTATAGAAACCTGTGGTGCTTCAGCTGATGTGATTGAAGATCTGGGCTTGGTTATTGACCAGTAAAGCTCCCTGATATTTTCTGACAATGGGAGGAGACATGTGTGAGTAGTGTTAGGATTCATATGGGACGGCGACATGGGCGGACAGACTCCGGACAGCACAGATGGGCTGGTCCCGCTGTGCCAGATGGTGCACCTGTTCTGTGCCCAGATAACAAGATGACTGACTCACAACAGGTTAGAGTGTGTCAGGCTTTAAGCACTTTTTAAATGTGACCAATGCCATACTCCCCTCACGCTTATCAATTTCAACTCCATAACACTTAAGTATGGACTTGTACTGTATTTCACTTATGTGGTTTCCAAAATCTTGATAGAAATTGTTTTTGAAAAGAAAATCATTGTGCCCATTTGGTGCATTATGGTTTGTCATACTCACAGAGAGAAAGAGACATCCCATAAGAAATGAAATGTGTAAACCTCTTAAACACGCATGATTCAGCAGTGTGGCGCCTGTAAAGGCCATTGGTCATGACCAGTTCATACTGATGGGAGGTGATAATCTGAGGAATGACTAACAAGTACGCAGTGCTCAACAGTACTTTATTAAACTAACATTTGCTTCCTCTTGACTGAGGCGTGTGAGACATTTGTGTAAAGTTGGAAAAAGTCAGAGGAACATTTTCACTGTTTCTGTGTTTGTATTCACAGAGAGAGACTCGTCTGAGCAAAGTGTGATGGATGATGAGAGTGGAGTGACGCAAAAGTCTCATGACTTTGCATTAATATGACTACGCTTCAGTAATGGGCTGCACAGCAGAGCTCAGCTTTCCAACATAAATATGTATTATAAAAATTTAGAGTGTATTTTATGATCAGAATGTAGAAAATATAAATTAAGACCTGTGTTTGGATTGCTGAAACATATTGATACTGATAAAGGTGTTCTTATGAATAATGTGTAAACAGCAGATGTCTCACAGTAATCACACCGCTCCATGTTAAGGTGAATTAAACAGGTCACTGGGCATCGAGCCAGCCATCAGTCCTCAACATAACAGCTGTATGAAGATTTATGTGTGTGTTTGACATGTAATCCTGTCCCCTGCATCAGTGTGTGATGTATGGCTGCAGCTCGCTCTCATTCATCTTACCTGGAGGGTAGCGCTCAATGACCGGATGGTTGTCCACTTGGAGAGTGGCATTGCCACCGCTGCGTGTGAACCGCACAACGTGGTACTTGCCATCGTTTACCACTACAGCGGGCTCATCGATGATGATGTCATCAGTCCCCACGTTGAAGATCACACCGATCTTGCCTTGATCCTGAGTGAAAAGCAGAGATACGTGTGATAATGCTGCACATACATAGAGGTGCAGATGGAGCAGTGCTTTTACTGACACAGAGGAGGTCTGTTAAAGCATTCACAGAATCTCCTGTGACACACACAGTATGGAGCTCTTCTTCAGGCTCAGCTCTGAGCCCAGGTTTCCTGATGTGGATCTCTCTTGACACAATCCCTGTGTTTCTCTTTTGGTTGACCAACCTTCCTCTGTCAGCCTGGCTTCGATCCCACAAACATCCCTAAGGTTAGTGTTTCTTCTTGAGATGGCCTTTAGGGGGCGCTAATACAAACATTGAGACAAACAGCTCCTGTCTAAGCTATGCGGATGAGCCGCAGTCACTCAACACAAGGTCATAGTGCTGATGTGGCTGTAAACCAGGGACAGGCAGATCACCTCTCAAATCTTAGGCAGTATATTATGACACACTGTGTGCGCACATGGATGCGTACTAGGATATTTTAAAATCTTGAACACCTAAATCAAAAAGCAGATTTGGGCTACTTTTTTCTACACTAAACTGGTGTACAGAGAAGTGACTGCTGGGTGGGAGTTAATGGAGGGTCCACACTCTCTGTGTTGCATAAATAGCACTTTTCTGTCTATTTATCTGTGCTCAGACACTGCTTTTACCCAAATGAAATTAACCTGCATTATCAAAGGTCATTTGTGATTTATTCAGTCTTTGTAATCCTGCAGCATCAACCAACAGCACAGAAGAGCACACTCTGAACTCATCTTAAAGTGTATTTTAGAGAAGCCTGAACCTTGCTGACACCTTGCAAATATTTACAATAAAGTCTTGTCTAACAATCCCCAGGACACACGGCTGAGCGGGAGCTGGTGTGAATGATTTAATAAAACGCAATGTCCCTTTCCTATCTCCCACAGTTCAAATGCACTTTACAAGTTTAAATAGACTTTTTCAGTTTCTACTATTTGCCTTGTTAGGTAATGACATTACGTAGTGCTATTTTAGAAGAAATACTGGGCCAAAATATCAAAGAGATCGAACTGATCGAAGATTAGTCATTTTGCCCTAGTCTAAATTACTAATAGGGGATGCTTGCCTGATGTTGCCTCAATGATTAAATCATAAAATTTTAATGTTATAAGACAAAATTGGCCCCTGGCTCATTTCAATCCCACATTGGGATTTCTCACTTTGTCCTAGAGCCCCAAACTAATGCCCCCAGCACCTGCTCAGCCTAATGGTGCTTTTAACAGGTCTGGCAATTAACAAGTACTTAGTATTTGGCTAAAAGGTTTTTGAAAAGGTTTTGTTAAACAATGTGTGGCCCTGCATTGACAAAAACACAAACAACTAACCAACCTGCTGCTTCTAGTTTAATACATGAGCTGGAACTATAGACCAATTTCTAATTTAAAGTTAATGCAGAAATGGTTGTGTTAATTCAGTGTGATTTACTGGTGATAGCAATAAGAGGTTTAGTCAAACTACAAAGAAGATCTTCAGAAGATCATTAAAAAAAAAAAAAAAAAGAAAATTTAGGCCATTTTGGCAAATGAGAAACCTTTAATGGACATAAGAGCATGATTACAAAACATTTGCAAATGCATATTATGTTATTTATTTAGTTTATTTTAGGTGTTTAGTGCTGCTGTTTTGAGTACTACCCTGGAAAAGAAACTTTTAGCTTATTAAAGTAAAAATACATAGAATTACCTTCAATTAGATCTGATGTCAGTTAATGATTAAAAACATTATAGTCCACTTCACTTGCACATTCTCATAACATAGCCTTGTAAAGGGTGCAGACATGTGTGTTTATTGCCCTGGTCAGCTCATGGTCCCCCAGGTCAAACTGGTGTGTGTCCTCTGGTCCACTGCGTTCCTCTCTGGGGCGCACTGTGTCCCCTCTCTGTCTCCTTTCGCATCCTGCTTACTCAGTAAAACAAGTGCTTATTATAAAAGAAAACAGCCCTGAGCACCTCCTGGCAGCTGCAAAGCCACTACAGCTGCATTATTTAAACATACACATAGTATTTAGAGTTTACGATGGAATTCATTCAATTTACTTTACTAAATGATGGTAACATTCTTCTTCTTCTCAGAGTGTATGTGTGCTTACTTTGCTAATAATTAAAAATACAAAAAAAAAAAAAAAAAAAAAAATCAGTGTTCACAGTAACTACAATAAAAAGTAGGTTGAGAGAAGTTTGAGTCACTGCTCTAAAATATTAGGACCAACGAGGCCTCACTTGACACCAATCAAGTCCAATTATATCCTTGATTTTTTTAAATGATTGATTTTATAATTGTAGCAATTACGTAAATCACTTCATTATGTGTATTTCAGCTTAATTTCCAAAATATAAACAACCAGGTGTTTCTCATCATCACGTCCAGAAGGATGTGACAAAGAAAAGAAAAGAAGAAGGCTTTTGTCAAATACCTTATAATCTGGCAATATTATGTTGAGAAACATACATTTTTAAATACGTTTTTGGGATTATATGAATGACAGTATTATGACAATTCATCAGAAATGTGCTAACATTGTATATGGCTTGTTTCAGGTTCAAAGGTCACACAAAATGTTGAATGGACTGTAAAATGAACCACAAAAAAAGTTATTTTTCTGTCAGCTTTTTGCAGCATTTTTGGTTACTTTTATTATACTGTAGAGGATATACTTGGTATTCAGATTTTGTAGTTTCAAAACATACATTGCCATATTATCAATGTTGTGATTTATCTGTAGCTCTAATATAAATTTTAATGTATTTCTTATTCTGTAAAGCACTTTGAATTACTTTGTGTATGAATTGTGCCTTGCCTAATACACAGATTCTGACATCATTTGAGAATCTGTGTTGGGTTAAAAAAACCTTTTTCTTATTTCGTGCTAAATGATCAGTCGTCACATTTTTATATAGCACTTTCTACCTTCAAGGCACTTACATCGAGGAACCACTCATTTATTCACACACACATTCATACAACAGTATACACAAACACGGGGTGAGGTCTGTTCTTCTGCATTCATCTCAGTGGATCTGCCTGCTCTACCGATGATGTTTTATGTTGAGAGTGGGATTTGAACCACCAACCACTGTATCACAAACACTCTCCCAACTGTGCTGCTGTGGCCCTCTTCAGTTGGTGATGCAATATTATATGGGATCACAGCGCTGGTCTTCTAATGCTTCAGTTTGTTGACAAATCCACTTTTTCACTGTCTCTAAAACTGAACAAGCTCACAGCACCAATCTCTGTTCGTGACACTGCCAAATGACACATCATTTATAATAGACCCTGGACACAATCAGATCTGTATCATCTCACACAAGGAGCCAACTGTCTTTTGTAAACTTTGCCACGCACCAGGTGGGAGTGTGTGTTAGCAGACGAGGCACGCTTACAGCCAAAGTAATATAGCATCTTTCCACTGATGAACATGATGATCCACATGATGAAGAGATAAAAGGGAAACTTGTGTCTAAGTGAAGTACTCAAATGCAAAACATAGATGGAAAAAACAGGTCCTCATAAATAACTGATCATAATTTATATTGCTCCTTGTTCTATAATTCCTTCCTAATTCCTTTGAACATGTAAGAATGTTTAATATTAATAGTAAAAAAAACAAAAAACTGTTAAGTGTTTGAATTGTATTTCATTGTCTTTACCACAGCCAGATTCAAATTTGTACCAAACATATGTATCATGAATTAGAAATGAGGAAAAACACAAACATAAACATGGCTTCGCTGTTTATGTCAAGCTTGTGACAAAGAACTTTCATGCATACAGATATTCTAATGAGGGCAAATTCCTATTTGTATAAAAAATAACTATGGGTTGTCTAAACTTTGCAGGTTCAGTTTATTCACTTGTGATTACAACAATAGCTGCATTTTAATTGCAGAGGTGGGTAGTAACTCGTATCCATATTTCATATTTCAGTGTTTCACAGCGTAACAACACTATTACTTGGTATTACTAGTGGTTACTCTTCCTACTGTGATTAGGAAAGTGATGAAAGATTTTTGGTGACAATTATAAGGTTATGAACATTTGTGTTTCTTGCATCATTCCTTCAAATGTGATTTTGTTTTTCTACTTTTTGTGATCTACCCTTAAGAGCAGATGTTGTGCATTACATAACGTTTTACAAGATGTCAAATTATAAAGCATGTTACATCCAGACGGCTACTCTTACTCAAATACTTTCACAAAATACTTGTTACTCTTACTTGCCTATGTTAGAACTTCATCACAGCAAATCAATTTAAATACCATTATTGCTTCTCAGTGAGAGGGGTAGTGTTATTTGGGCTTTATAGTAAATATCCCTTGAGGAGCTTTAGTAACTGTCCAGCCATTACAATTCACTCAATACTATCACTTGATTATTTGTCCCACTTCAAATCAATTGCTTGTTGCTGCTGCCTCATACAGCTCACTGATGGGTGGTATAATGTTTGCATGATGTGAAATTAGGGATGGGCATTCGATTAAATTTTCTTAATCGATCATCGGAAGAATTAACGATCGATTATCGATTAATCATTAACGTTTTTATATTAAAATGATCATCATTATTATTACTATCTGCACTACTAATCTGCATAAATAAATTCAACTTTACGACATATAAACCGTAACGACTCTAGAGCCACATCAGAAGTTTGACATTATAATGTGTTAAATTCAGTTTGCACAACTCTCACAGAAACGAAACTTAAAACCGCATCGTTAATTTGCATAAACTAAAATAAAACTACAGCTCTTGTGTCGCTGATGCGGTTCAACTTCTGTCGGATTAAAAGACATGACTCAGGTGAATACAGGGGTGGGAGGTGGGGACTCGTCATCGCGCTACTCTCACCTAGCAAAGCTTTTTCCCTCTGGACACCAAAACATATGTGCTGCTTTGTACACTGTGCACATGGCCTCACACTTGTCCCGAACACAACGGAAAGCGTGGAATTTCTTGTACAAATCATCGTTAAATACACATTTGTGCTTCGGTACGTTGCAGACTGACCGACTGTGTGTCTCGCTCCTTCTGAGTGCAGAGAGACACATGTACGGACCCCTGTTTGGTCACGCTACGCACAGTAACCTACATTCGGGTTGTCGATTAAAATCAACGTAATCGATGAAATTCTTAATGATCAATTATCGATTAATCGACTAATCATGCCCATCCCTATGTGAAATTATTAAGAAATTGTTGATTATACCCAGTTAGATCTCTTATCTTATATCTCTGATCTGATCTCTGAGCTCAAACTTTTAATAATAGTCAAATAGTTTAATTTGGTCTGTAAAATTACATCCTTCTAACACTCACATTTTATTAAAATCTCACTGCATGTCTGCCATTACCGCTTTTTATTTCAGAGTATCCAGCTCACTTTCATATCATATCAGTGGTTAAGATTTTGTGTCAGGCAGATTAGCCAATCAATCAAGGACAGGCATGGCCTGTCCAGATCAAAACAAATGTGTCCGCTTACGAGGAAAAAAAATAAGGAACAAATATCACACAAACTAAAAAATATTGCAGGTTGTTAATCTGAGGTGAGATACATTAGTTTCACATGTGTCACTGAAAAAAAATAATCTTTGCACAAACATTTGACTCGAGACGCGAAGGAGGGTGTGGGGACCAGACTGGTATCCCTCTATATAAAAAGAGAGCTTATTTAGGATTTTCCAGGGAAGGTAAGAACATGAGAATAAGACTATTTGCCGAATGTCTTCCCACACTTATCCTCTCCATTCCATGCTACTGTCCAATTAAAATCAATAAAAAGTATGAAATACCACAAATTAAATTGATAAACAAGATTCTGTGACCGCTAAATATGTGGCAATTTAGAATGACTCACTGCACTTCTGCTATTGACCCCTACTAACTGGAGTTTGGCCTGCAAATTTTTTCCCCTTTACTATTATCATTATTAGCCAAGCCGCCACATGATGATAATGTATTATATTTCATTCAGACTTTTTAAACACTCAGTAATCTTTAAAATTATAATTTTAGCTGAAAATGTTAGGGAATTTACATCTTTAAAAGTCTGAAACCACTGAAAATCTTTCACTGTTACTGATTGAAGTGTATTGCTGTTTAACAATATAGCATTATAAAGGGGTGCTAGCCAAAAAATGTAGTTCGATTTACCTTTGATATCCCTTAATTATACATAAGATGCAACCAACGGTTGCTAAAAATAGGTTTAACACTTACTTAATGCCAATCAGCGAATAGGTGATGTTATGAAGCCTGGAGACACTCTAAAAAACAGCTCCGACCTGCGGCTCTGTCTAAACTTGTTCTGAATCCTCTCAGCGAGCATTAATAAGGTGTCAAAGTGAGCAATCTGTCATGGTGCAAGGACCTGGCAGATGGAGTAAGAAACACTTGAAAGGGTGTTGCTCAGAGGCAGCAGTTTATGCATTTACTATACACAGTTGGAGGCTGCCAGGGGATCTTTAGACACTTTTTACACAGGAAACACCATTTAAAACCATTAGAGAAGCACACCAGGGTATCATGAATTTGGCTTTGTTTATGGTCTGTTGGTACAGTAATAGTGAAAAATAGGAGTGTGTTTATAAGTGCTGCTACTATATTAAAATTGGAATTTGACTTAAGGAAAATGTTCAATGCTCGATACCTACCTACCTTTTGACACCATAGTGACAGTTAATACACAATATAATATAATATAATATTCTCCTAATTCCGGCTGTTGTAATTCGGTTTACATGGGACAGCAAAGTTCTATATGGACTACAAAGCCCTTTTAAATCCCCCCCAGAGAATCTCTGCATTCTTGACTTGTTGGTGTACACCAGACCTGTGCATAGTGTCGTTCCCAGGCCACATACGGCCCTTTGGTTGACTCTGACTGTCCCATTTAAGATAATCTGAAATTATAAAATAAACATATTTTATAATTTTTATAATTTATAATTTATGACATTTTTTTCTTTGCTTAGTCATAACATATACTCTCACCAGTCTTACCAGCTCTCCTGGTGTACAAGAACCCTAAACAAATACGCAAATCAGACTACTTTATATCATATTTTAGCAGCCAAACTTTTCTCAAATCTTCCATTAAAATAAATTTCACACTTTACCGAAAGTGCCACCACATAGAAAGTGTGGCGTAATAACATTAGAGCAATAGTAGGCAGAACTGAAGAGGGTCAATAGAACGGAATTTTCAACACAAAATAATACTTTCTTTAAATGTATAATATGGCCTTATATTAGTTTAGACAAAAATCAAGACCATTCTGAAATTATATTATCCATATAATAAAATGTATATAACTAATCTAACACAGAGGTTTGCTGTCTCTTTAGTAATAATAAAATACAACTATTATTATTGTTCCCAAACTTTACATTAATCTCAAACATATATTTATCCAGACTGACTGCAAAGCAAGATAATTATATTAAATGAACATGTAAAACTATTCATTATCTGCAAACAGCTTCCTCCCACAATTATCAGTTCAAAGTTGGTTGGATCATTCTTGTTTATTAATATGAACCCTGCCACCTCACACAGTAAATATAAAGTGATCATTCAATTAGGCAATGCGTTGAACCTGACTCATCATTTCTACTTGATCACACAAAAATAAAGTCACATTTCTCACAGATATTGGAGCTGATTATAGGAGTAATGACTCATAGAGATATTATTAGGTTGTTGACTTATAAAAAAAATAATAATAAAAATAAAAATCTAAAAAGCCATTAAATGCTTTATGCGCATTTGTCACAACTTGTTTCCTGAAATAAAGGGAGACAAACCAGAGCTCCAAAAAAGCTATTTAATCTTAAATTGAAGTTTTAGCTTGTCTGTGGTTGTACACTAGCAGACGGTTATGTTTTGTTTGTTGTTTATGAGCAAAGACAGGTGTATCCATTTAAAATGATACACAAAATTGCAAAAAAACATGTAAAGCAATTATGAAGGTGCTGCTTTTGTCTCTCAGTACAATGGGCAAACCCAGCTCTCAGAAAATATTTGATTTAGTGGTAAATGCACTTCCCCTTATAGCTCTTGTTGGTAAAGAATAACAAACAAATAAGGTTATTGTTGATTGTATCTAACTGTTAAAGCTGACCTACTATGCAAATGAACTTTTCAGAGCTTTTAATCATGTTATAGTTGTTTCCCCTCACCATTTACGCAAATGTTTGAGCAATTTTTAATAACTCCTTTCCATTTTCACTGTCACTGGTATACGCCCACTGCTCTGTACTTCGTTCTCCAATTTTATGTTCTTATTTCACAGTGTTGTATATTAATTTTGGGTTATTTAAAAAAAAAAAAGCTATCGGAGGTTTTGACAACTTCACTCCTCTTTGTTGTGATGACATTTACGGTGATGGCAGCTCCCATTGGGCAGCACAGTTTTTTAAAGTGGCAGTCAGTGGACTTGTTTCTTTTAGTAAATTGTTCTAGGTGAAAATTGCTATTTAAAATGTCCAAACTAACTGATCGGCAATGTCATAGATTATAATACTATATAGCAGACTTAAGCACAATAGGTCTTCTTTAAAACAAGTTAATCTATTCAGTTGTTCTTGGCCCGTTTTTCAGATAAAAAAAGGAAAACTATTTTTTTATATTACAACTTTTCTCTGAAGAGTATCATGAAATCTCAAGGTTCCATTCTCTTTCTTTGAGCATTTTGACTCTGGCGTATTACTGTATGACAGACTCTCACCACGGCCTTATGCTTTGGCAACAGGTGCACTTTAATTATTACTTTGACAGATCCTTGCTCTGTTTTTCACATCTGTCTCAGAGCTGGATCCTAAGAAGCTCCTCTCCCAAAAGACAAGATGCACAGATGTCGACACTCACACTCCTTCATCCACAAAGACATGTTTATCCTCAACTTGATTGCATCGTCTCCCTTTTGTCTGGATTAATTTTAGCTCAGAACTGGCTAGAATTATGAATTATGTATTACATTTCTGGCTTTATGTCTGTGTACATGGACATGGGAGGCCCAGCTTCAATGGTTATCTTAGCTTCAATGGAATAGAAAGCAGTTTATTTTCACTAGGTACAACATTCGATCAGTTTATTGCCTCACCTTTAGTACATATAACACATAGTAAGAGTGGCCTGGGCTTTGGGTTTGGTGTTTTTCTACAAATATTTTATGCAGTGGGATGACTCTAAATTTACAACTGTAATATCGAACTATGCAACGTATATATTGACAATTGAGATGTTGGGAAATATTAAATATGAAAATATTGAGAACCTAGCTCATTCAGTGCAAATTTCTGTATAAAACTGTAATATGGTTGAATTTGAGGGGACAGATAGCAAAACTGTATGCAGTGGTAATTGGAACATGAGTAACTATGTGTTTATTTTTGATCAGCAGTTATTTCGCATGTATAATATTTATTATACTATATATATTATATTATCTACTACCCCGCCTTAATAATCATATTGGTGCCAGATGTTATAATATAAACATTTGCAAGGTGTTTGGACAAACTCAGGAAGTCTATTGTAAACACATTTTCATTGCTCCATTTAGCTGCCCATAGCCCGGTGCTCCTGTGCTGCAGCTATAGGTGAGTTATGCATTATGTCCTGCTCATTGACAGTATCTTGACTGGGTGCCATCTGTGCCTGTACTCACTATGTGCAGCTGAAGAAAGTCTCCGAGCCCGTGGGTGCTCTCCACTCGCACCAAGATGGCGTCCTTCTGCTGCGTGCTGAAGCCCACGGCCAGGCGGTCCGCTCGGGTGCTAGGACGCTCGTTCGGGGCCCAGGTGTAAGTGATGAGAGCCCCTCCTTTACCGAAGATATACGTGGTCCCAGCTGGGGATAGGGAGAGAGAGAGTGTGAGAGGAGGGGAAGCAACAGAATCAACACGATGTGAAGAGATGATGAAGTGATGAGAGATCATGAAGAGAACCTGTGTCTAAATGTGTTGCTGCTCATTAGCAGTCCATTTTAAGGCATATGGAGCAGCAACTGTGTCAGAGCTATTGTGTGATTATACCAAATTCTGCATAATTTGAATTGATTTCGGGATTAAAAAATCTATGTATGTATGTATGTATGTATGTATCTACCGTCATTATTCCAAAATTAATTATTATTTTTTTTGTGGATTTTTATGATTATTTAGGTGCCATAATAATTGATTGAAGTTGGAGTCTCTTCATGCTTCTCACTTTCAGTCTCACATTATCCCAAATCTTATATCTCCTAGCAATGAAGGGGGATGCACCGGTGTTAATAAGTTTTACATGTCTTTAGGATCTGTGTGAAAACCGGATTCGCCAGGGCAGCTTGCAAATGAGACACCTCTTGATGATATGAGCACTATGCAAACTTTTCTGTCTTTCACGTACAAGTCAGAATTAAACTGCAAACTTTTACATCTGCTGAGACTAATAAAAATAAATAATAATAATAAAGTAGGTGAGAGACAGAGGCAAAAAGGGACAGTGTTAATGTTCACACATAGGCAATAGCAGGAAATGTTGCATTCTGTATGTTTTCTTTGCATTAGAGCACCAGGTGGTATTGACTTTTGGTGGATTTATAAAGCTGCTTCCCTTCTGTAGTATCTCTTAAACTGTATACATAGCCATGGTCCAGGAGTTGAATCTTGATTAATTATTGTTGTTTGTGGCGATGCATAGCCTCAACAATGGGCATTATTGCTTTTCTAAATGTTGTGTCTGACCAGTTTCTATTCATTATCTTTTTATGGAAAACTAGACGCACTACAGTAGTGAGAAACCTATTAAAATGCCACAAATTAATTGGACTGCTGCAATTTTTGTAGACTGGTAGTCTTGACAAAGTTCATTATATTTCCCTATAAGCGCTGCATTGGTGTTTCAGTGTGAGGGGAAATGAGGAGAAATTTTAATGAGCCATCACAGGATTTACAAGCAATGCTGCCTTGGCAACCATTAGTACGATATCAATAGTTGCCACATTGACCACGCAAGATTTACAACCCGATTCAATCTGAACATTTGCCTTTGTATGTGTGTATGGATATGCACAGAGGCTAGAGAGTCCAAAGCTTCTACTTGGTGTTTTATTGAACTACATGCACAACTGAGTATGACGGAATTACAGGATTCAGGCTAACTTTATAAAGGATCTCATGGACTCCAAAATTAATCTGATATGTTGTACAAAGAATAGCATGAATTTGCCCTAACCACTGTATAATTGGATTGTGATGTCTTGTAGCTAGTCACCTGATCATCACAGTCTTTCCTTTTTGGGCTTTTCCCTGATGGGAAATCATCTGCCTCATATAGCATGTAGAGGTTTACTCATCGCTGAATTAAGTAATATATTAAGTAATGTTATAATGTCTTTCAGTAGATATTCTGTTAGTTGGATAATGACGAATCTCCTTTCAAGATGTTATGTGATCATTATTTTTATAATGATCCTGTAATTTGGATACAAAAAAACAACAACACAAAAACAAAAACACATCTACATCTTAAGTAGCCTAAATAAAGCAAGAGGAAATACTTAATTCTTAATGAACAAATGATGATCATGATTCAGGCTTAGTAACTACATAAAGGTTAGGAGTTAAGATTAGAGTATTAATGAAGGGTTAGTAACTACTAAATTAAGAATATAAATTAAGGACATACTAAGCCTGAATCACTAAATTAATTATGTCTAATGAAAACAACAAGCTGCTGTGAAAAAAACCCCCAACAACTCCAAAACATTTCTATAAATACCTTGCTCTTGTACTATGGGGTATAGATGGGAGAGCTATAGCTGCGCTGCTGTCTTTATCGTGAATAAAACATGTCCGCCTGGCACACCTGAACTCGCACATAGACGTGTTAGAGCCTGCATAAGTCATAGCACTCTTCATTATTCCTTCCCCTCTCTGTCGCCTTGTATCACCACTCATCTGCAGCATCAAATAAAGCACATTGTAAATCAGTCCGGTTGGGATTAGTGCTATAAAGCTCTCCTTTAAAAGCAGTTATCTCTCTACAGCTCTATCGCTCCCTCTTTTCCGCCGTGTGTCTCTTGGGAGCGCTCGTCTCTTATGGCCCAGCGATACATCTGTGCTGGAGTTAACATGGCTCCCTGGGAGATTGGCACAGAAGTGGGGACTGTAAACCACACGCTTGTTACTGGGGAAGCCTCATAATTAAATGCACAATATATTGAAGAGGCGTTTTATCACCATCGCAAGTGCAATGTACGAGTGTTACAAGCACTATACTAAGCAGTAGACTTCAAATGTGAGGGTTATGGGTCGACAGAATCCTTCACACAGCAGCCTGGCCTATCCATGGGTCACTATAGCTAATCATTGGCTTCATCGTGAGCCTAATAGACCACCAGGCTAATATTCAAGCCCATTCATTACAAACTGTGACACTCACTGTGCATTACAGTGATCCAACATGAACTAGGAACACCAAACAAGTGCTGCAGTATTCTTTTGCTGCCTAATATGTCTTATCTACTAGTTACAGATATTTACACAAGACATCCTTCTCGACGCAACCATTTCGTTTTTTCAAGTCTGGCAGTATAACTGTGCTCTGTGTATTTATACATTGAAAAATGTTCTATTTCCAATAAATAACCAAACTGCATTTCTAAACCCTACAATAATGGTGTGTACAAAGTGTATTTTAACATGCATACACACAAACAATTGAGCATTTTGTGTACAATATTTTCATGCCATAGAAATCAAATGGGATCACTAGTCCATGCAACAATAGCAAAGCGTTTATTTGAACATGCATACATTTGAGGCTTTATTCCCTGAATCGTTTTCTATAAGAATATTGAACTTGACTGTCATCTCCCTCCAGCTCTTTGTTCAACAACTGCACCAATATGGATTATCTATCTGTGCCAAAACGCTCGCTACCCACTCACGACATGCAGTCCTTTTCATTTGCGGCCTGCTGAATACACAAGATACAATGTGGCACGGTGGCTCATAGGACTTGCAAAACACAACCGGAGACACTGCTGCTAATTTGCATAATGCACAACAGTTTTGAGTGCAGCAGCGATGGCCTGTGTTAGCCTGCTGTCACTGAGGAGTATAGTGAGGCTTAAGTGAGACGGTGATGAAGGAGATGCACCATGGGTAATATTATGGGGCGCTTCATTTTTGACTAAGAGCATACACTCAATGTGAATCACACAAATGTTGGCAAATTCTGTCGGTGGTGGCAGAAGAGAGACTTGGAGGGACAGGGAATAGGTATTTTTAAAGGGCTGTGGGAGAGTGTGATGCCTGGTTGAATCATATGCAAATGACAGAGGTTTAAGTTAAGTTTAAATTAGCAAACATTCTCTAAAAGTAAGAAGAGTTTTAGTTCCTTCTTTTAAGAACTTGTTGGTAGCTGGGGCACTGACAACTCTGTGCATTGTGGTCAAGACAGTTCAATGTAATAAAAAATAGCAATTAAATATTGTTTCCTCATCATTAGAATATTGTACCAAAGTGAAATTGTGATCAAACCCCTTGTTGAGGAGTTGGATGATACTATAATTTCAGACGAAGGGCAGATGCCTGTATAAAGCTATAGAAGATTCACTGTTTTTGAAAGAATATTCCAGACTTATGACTCACAAATGTTGAATCCTATCATTATTTGCTAAGGATTGGGTCTCCAAACTTGTCATATTAACATTAGGCCTTAATTTCAACCTACATCAATCAAGTTTTGGGGTTGAATAATAGCACCACATTTTGAAGCTATTGCAAAAAATGAATTTCCATTGTGTTTATTTTTTGCTGACAACAAAGGTTAAGGTTAAGGGCCCATTTTATTGCAACACGTTCCATAAGGAGAAAATAAAAGCTGTAATATACGATCACAATATACGCCACAGCCAGATACCAATGTAATTGTGACATTAACCTGTCCATGAGATATTTTATTTTTAGAGTTCAAGTTTTATGTGCATTGTAATTGCATTGAAATCTAAGATTGTAGTAATAGTCTGATCAGCGGCACTAGGTGTTAGTTCCATTTTTGGTAAAGTACTTTTACTTGTGACTGTGAGTAATGTTCAAGTACTAGACCCCTGGAGTACTGAAGTCAATAACTTCCTCTGTGTGATCTACAGCTCACAATTTGCAGTGGAGGCTATTGCTGAACATAAAAAAGGCATTTAGTGCAAAACAAAACTGATCGATTACACAGATAAACACATTAATTTTTTAAGCAGACGTCATTTTGTGAAAATGTTGAATTATGCCTAAACATTAACTGAATTTGTTGTTTGAAAACTTAAAACATTTGACCACTCCCACTGACATTGAATGCATCTCAGGGAAATGATTCAAATGAATAGTGCCGCCCAGTGCCTCAACAAGACAGATATGTGGCTGTTGAGTTAAAATATGTTTCTTAAAATCCAATCTGGCGTCATCTCCTTAGAGTGGTAAATACGGCCATAAGACATCACATCAATCACGTCAATGTGGATCAATTAAAATTCACAGCAAAGATCTAGAGTGCATCTGGGAGACTCTGGCAGCCAGAGCAGTTGAACTGTTATTGCGTTATAGTGTATAGTCATTCTCTGTTGAACGATGGATCCGCTGTGTCAGGTCTAAAATTGCATGCCTGCAGCCCAGTGTGCCTTGGACGACTCCCCACCCCCCCTTTCAACAACGCAAAGCCTTTTCTTTCTTTTTGGCATTTCAATATTTGAATTGTGGCAAAAGAGTTCAAGTCAAAGGCAAGACTATGAAAATACTGCATTTTCCCTGGCAGCGCAGCACAAGTGACAGAGACATTGCTGCTTATTGGAACAGAATAGTTTTGACAAAG